TTTTTATTAGGACTTCATCAAGTCATATCAAAAATATTGCAGTTCTTTTCATAAAAGAAAGCGATTTCCAACTTATCAATCTTTATGGGATATTTGTAATAAATATCTAATAAAATAACGAAATACATGTGACACGAACAGAAAAAAAGTAACATGCATGTTTTACATACTGATACAAAGATATTTTACATACTGATACAAAGATAGCATATTATGAAAAATGTGAAAAATACTCTTTCAATATGAACAAAAAATAAAAATAAAATAAAATGCATGACAAAAATTGTTGTGACTTCACATTTAATGTTCTTTAAGTTTGGAAACATAAAACATCGAATGTGGCAAGATATTAATGAATTTAAAAATATTTTGTTTAGTTAAGATTAATACACAAATACATTTTCTGGACAAAAATTCGGCTTGGTCTCTCTATTCTAGTAAAATCCCTTTCTATTGCATGATCAAGCATTTTTTGAATTTATAATCATACTTATTTAAAACTCACATAAATCTTTAAAAAAAAAAAATAAACAAGTAAAAAATATATAATATCCTAATTATTCTTAAGTTAATTCCTGACAGACATTTTACATTTATTGACTGAGTTCGAGAACAAAATGCGCTTTGTCAGACCCAAGAAGCAAATTGTCTGCCTGCGGCCGTTACGCCGAAGGCAGACAGTTTAGTACGAGGGTCGACAAAACTCATTTTGTCGGAGATTGAACATAGTCAATAAATGTTTTGTTATACCTTTCATTTTAATAATTTAACATTACATTTATTTTGTATTGTCTCCCGTGATGTGACCTCAGGTCTGTCACTTTTAAGACCAAAGAATTCAAATGAGACGAAGCTTCGCTCATTCTGTGAAGTAAGCGGTCCAATATCTCAGCAAACGGTCCAACATCTCACTCAGCAATCCAACATCGACTTTTTTTAAAATTAAAATTCAGTTTTAAAATCAATGCACGTTTTTGCACTTCTGTTTTCCGTTGATTTCTCGTAGTAAGCTTTAACAGTGCTGCGTTGGCAAATTATATTTTAGAAACCAATAAATGTTGAAGTAAGAGACACTTGCTGAATCACTCTTAAATTAATTAAAATTACACTTCCAAAATGTATTCACTTGTAATTTGAAACATATAGAAGGTAAATTTTAGATAGACAAATCTTTAAATACATACATTTTTAGTGATATCAACGTAATCAGTAATCTTGTTTTGTCTATTACAGATATACAATGTAATTGGTTCTAAAATATATCATGAACCATTGACACTTACATAATGCAAAAATTCCATGCAGTTTTATTTTTTCTTTTTTTTAAAACAATCAATAACATCATATCCTCTCACTGTAGAATAGAATGGTATTTGATATTAAAGAACTACATAAATAAAAGAAATTAAACAAAGCACCATAGATTGTATTGATCATCAACGACAGTAAGTATTCCAAAAAAAAAGAACATATTAAGCAGAGCAAACACGGATTTTCCAAACCTTAGAGATGAGATTAGGTGCCATAGAGGAGCAAGCATTGCCCGCCAACCGGTCACACCGCTGTGTGCTCCTTGTCATAATCGAGTAATAACGGAAACAAACCTTATAAACGGCCGTCTGCAATGAACTCAAGTTTCAAAGTACCATATTTGAAATACAGACTTGGATGTTCATGTAGTAAAGATATGTAAAACTGCTTTTTTCTGTTTTTATATATTATAATATTTGTTTTAATATCAGGAACAAATATAGTATTAAAATATTGTTTCAAAAATTCTTTAATGATGAAACTATTGACAAAAATAATAACAATTTGCATTGTATACATAAAATCCTCACTTCTTTCTAATGTAATTTATCATAATGGGAAGGTCGACTTATTTGACCCAGTTCCTGGTATCCTGCGTTGTCCTCTACTTTATCATAGATCTCTGTGTTAGGCTTGGTGTGTTCAATGGACCTCTGTTTTTTGTTATTCGTTTCTCGACACGTTCCTTTACATGTATTCTTCCTACAATTCCTGAAATCAAAAGAGTATTTAATTATGTACACATCAAATAAAAAAGATTAGTTGATTATTTCTTTTCAAAAACATATTACCGTATTGGATTTGGAAGAAGAAAAAACAAAAAAACTCACCAGATAACGAAAACGATATTTAAAACCAGGCTTAAGCAAAGCGTGGAAACCACTCCGTAAAGAGTTGGATAGCACTGACTTGTTGTATCAGAATCTGATGATATGGCTGTAATTAAAACAAATGTTTGTTACACAATAAGTTTATAATCTTGATGAAGAGTTTTCATGTAATAAATATTTTTCCAGTTTCAAAAAGATTGTTATTAGTTTCAATATGTTTAAAGGTTTTGACAAAAATATAAATTCCAGCAATATGATCATTTGCGGACGGCTAACTTTTACTGATTAGCAGCAAATGATTTTTACCAACTCTCTATTAACTATCTCGACCACGATAACATTGAAAATGGATGATAAACGATAAGCGAAGGAAACGATACAACACAGGTAGACACAGGAAACTCTTATTTTTAAATAAGTGATCATGTATCAAAGCGAGTTTTCAAAATGAATCACTAACTCAATGAATAAGCTATTTAATGAAAACATATGTTGAAATAAAATGCTTCTTCGTTTTCCTAATGATCTGACTTAATATCTATAATGGATATGACCATATTTTGTATGGTTTAGACCAAAAATATATTTAAACCGAAAACAGGTTGCAAAATAATTATATGATAAAACAAAAGCTCTATGATAAATTTCAAGTGTATATTTATAAACACGAAGACCAATAATTTTACCTTCAACGAGGCAAGCGCTTGGCAAAAGAACATATGTTGCCTATTTTCTATGTTTTTACAATGGTCAGGGGCGGCCGATGTTTGAACTCCCAGCCTTCCGATCAGAGAGAGAGAGGGAAAGAGAGAGAGACAGAGACAGCGAGAAAGAGAGAAAGTGATCTATTAAATGAGTTAAAGTGATGGTCATCAATAGGATTATTTTAATATTTTTGTCAATAAAAGCAAGTCAACACCATAATGCAGATATTATAAAAACAAAAAGAACAAGAATAATGTTTTGTCTTGTATATATTTGCGCCTATAACCTTTGTTGTCTAGTCCTTAATATAAACTAATAAAGAAAAATTCAGGTAGTTAAAATTCCTTAAAATTACATAAGTTTCTGTAGTAAACTAAATTATGTATTTCGCAGAAAAAAAGACCTAAAATTTCAGTTAAGAATATGGGAAGATTTGGAAAATAATGCAATTCGTTATTACCACGACACTCTCCAGTTTTTACGTCACAACTCTTTGGAAATTTACAATCGACGCTACATGTCTCCTTGCAGTTGTATCCATAAAATCCATCTGGGCATGCTAGGAAAAATGAATTGCCGATCAAAATGGATATTTATTAATACAAATGTAACATATTCCCAGTGATCAATTAATTTTTTAGACGATTTGATGGATTGATCCCTTGAGATATTGTAAAGTTACACAGTGTTACTTATACGGATAAAACGAATTACGGATATAACGAAGTTTTTTTCACAGGTCCCGGTGACTTCATTATAAGCTAGTTTTACTGTATATAGCTCAATTGAATAACATATGCATTTTGTACCTGTTAATTGACTACATATAATACTTTATGCCTATGTGATGAGGAATTTTCTATTTTTATATGCATTCTTAAGTACATTACCCTGTGTACAATTTATTCCTTGATAACCTTTGTCACAACCATTTAAACATGTCCCGTTCACAAAATGGCATTGTTCTTTATCAAGGCAAACACCACATGAATGGGCACAGTTTAGTCCAAACGTTCTGCTATCACACTCTATAAAAAGCATACTATAAATAATTCCGCTTTCAAGCTTTTGTTACATGCATCAGCATTTTTAATGTCATTCAACAGAATTGACTAGAATACATAATTATATGACTTTCATAGACACAAAGAATATTCCAGAGAAATCACAAAAACAAATAAAGACAAGAAAACATTGATGTAACCATCAATTGTCGCCCGGGAAATATATAAAGTAAACAATGAAAATGAGTCTTGCTCATCAAACTGCTTCGATATGTGTGAAAAAGCATGCGTATTATTGATGGAGACGATAGTCGCGAATATTTTGAAAACTTGTAGTCGGATAAAAATCAATCAAAACAGATATAATTTTAAACTCAATTCCTCAAGTAAAGTTTGGCTGCATAAAATTTAAATTGAAGTTATACACACGCATCACCTATATTTAAAAATGTATTAATTTTCAATTTTAGAATATAAAACATGAACTGTATAGAGTACGTTTTTATCCGAGAAGTAAAATTTGACGTTCTAAAAAAAAGGGACCTGTCGTTTTTCGATAGTAAATGATAAACAACTTTATATATTAAATGTGTAAAACATATACATTTTTACAGATTCACTTCATGGAAGTAATATATTATGTATCTCGTAATTTATAAACGGAAAGAACATCCTGATTAACAATTAATCTTTTCAATGTTTAGAAAACCTTTAATTCTAAATAACTACTCCCACCCCAATCCCCATACACCAACACTTAAACTTATATGTATAGAGCAGCCCGGTCCTCCGGGCTGCAATAAATTGATATTTATGATTAAATTAAAATATTAATGAGATAATAATAAAATGAAACAAATGATATGATAATTATTTTTTGGTGAAACAATTTGGGAATCTTTGATTATTTTTCAACCTTTTCTCTTTCCGCAATATGAAAAATAGAACACATAAGTAGTAAACCTGTTTGAATTTTTTATATAGAATAGAATTACTCCTATCACATCTTTTATCTTTCCATCCCGCCTTACATCCACCTTGACATTCTCCGGTCACTCTGTTGCATCTACCAAGGACTCCGCAATTAATGCTGCAAACATCCTGACAATTGTAGCCATGACGTCCTACAGAGCATTCTAGGATGCAAATAAAAACAAGATAAAAGGAATAAATAAACATTTTTTTCCCTTTTTATTTATTTTCCTATTTGTTTATATTGTGATTTTTTTTTCCAAATGACTATTAGGAAATTTGTATTTGTGTGTATTATAAAATTAAAAAAGAATCCTTTATTTACATGAATCCGGAGGAAAAAAAAACACGCTAAAAGATCGACAAGTTTTGCATGAAAATGTCTACCTCTTTAAAACTTTTGTCAAATGTTTGACTTTATGTTCCAAACACTGCCTAGAACATAATGCGCTAGTATGGGAACCTGGATTTTCATTTACTTTATCCTCTGATAAAATTCGATTAAAAAGAGTTTTTAAATTTCTGACTGATGATTTTCATACCAATTGTTAGTCCATTATTTATACACTGAATTGACGACGGATATTTTCCGTTATTTCTTGATCATTACAAGGAGCACATGGCGGTGTGACCGGTCGGCAGGGGATGCTTACTTCTCCATGGCTCCTTATCTTACCTCTGATGTTTCGGGGTCCGTGTTTGCTCTGCTCTTATTCTGTATTGTTTTATGGACTTTGAGATTGAATATTGTTCGCTATTTCCATATCGTTTTTCCTAATAGTAAATTAAGTAAAATAGCTTAGGTATGTTATAAGTTATATGCTACATGTTACTTGTGTATGTTTAGAAAAGTTTGCACACCGTCATTGCATTTTTCTCCCTGAAACCCCTTGTCACAGCCTTTAAAGCATGTCCCATTGATGTGATGACACTGTTCGAAATTCAAACATGATCCACAGGAAAGACTGCAATCTGCACCGTAAAACCACGCATTGCATTCTGCAATATCGAAAATTCTTTCATTTTCTTACAGATAAATAAATTCTAAAATATTCAAAGAAATAATTTGGAAACTACTAGAAAGTCTGAATTATGATGATTTACCATATTGACTTCTACTATATTTATATATAAGCAATATTTTCTTTTCAAAGTTAAAGAAATGTACGAGGGCTGTTAGAAAAGTTCGCGGACAAGTTTCATTGTGAGCGCATAATTTCTATGAAACCGGTTACGCTCTCCAGACAAAAAGTTTTCTTTTTCCAATAAATATAGAAACTATGGTGCTTTCGGTGATCCAGCTATATTATCTTGTTAAAATATGCTTCACTGAGCATGCTTCTATTTAGGAAGTTTACATTACATCAACTTTCTAAGTAGATTAAAATTTCAAAGTTTTAGATAAAAAAAAATTATGATAGTAGACCTTTCGCTACAGTATTCATGAAACGTGACTTGGTGAAATTTTTAATTTTATTGGGGGGTATTTGGCCGTTTTATAGCATATAACTTGAAATCCTATGACCGTTGAGTAGAAACAGTTGTCAATTTTCAAAGTTTCAGAACGTTAAAAAATTCATTCATAATTCCTTCATTGAATGTTGCATCGATAGAAATGCACATTACATATAAAATAGATACAGGTTGCCTCCTCCCCCACTCTCTTTCTCTCTTGTTTTGTTAATACGTACGTTCTTCACATCGCACTCCTTTGTATCCCATTACACACCCAAGACAAGTCCCATCCTCAATGTTACAACGCCTCTCCTGACAATTATTTGGACATGGTAATGTACAGTTTTCTCCATAAACACCTTGGACAGGACAACCTAATCAAATTAAACTGATAAATTATCAATGAATAACTAATGGTGATATTTGTTTTCTATATGTCTTCATTTTGGAAACTTTAAAACTTTGTTTTTTTTCAATCTATTAGTTTTCAACTTTATGACAATATTTTAGCATTGTTAAATCAGTAAGTTAATATTATATGATTCCTCTTTTATTCTTTGTCTTTGAAAACATTTACTTAAAAAAAGTAATAATAATAATAATTAATCAATAAATTCCAAATTGTTTCTTAAACAAATAAAACATATTTCATTGCATAACTGATGTTTTGTCACATGACAGTAATACCCGCGTTAAGGTGTTTTACACTAAGTGCACTCCATTTTAAATATACGTAGTTTTATTTTCAGAGAAGAAATATTTTGACGGAATAAATTCCATTGTGTACATTTTGTATTCGGCAAACTTTTGTACTGTCTTTACCTCATCATTATTAGACTGTTCGTGGTGTAGAGCAAACAAAATAATCGATGATCATTAAAAATTTATAGTGATTTTTTTTTCATACCTCGCGCTTAAAGAGCAGGAAGGTAAATAGTCCGTCTGTCTGTCCGTCCGTTCATCTGTTACATTTTGGAGTACTCATCTCTTATCCGCAACTCCTCTCATATAACTGAATGAAATTTGATGAAACTTTCAGAGAATCTTCCTTATATAATGCCATTGCGTACCACTTATTTTACTTATTCATCCCATACATATTTGGGTGTCCCATAGCAAAACATGGACATTGCCAATATATTCATATATGGTAGGGGTACCATTTAGTGAGTTCATTGCTCACATTACATGTACCTCTAGCTGATTTATTTTACGTCGACTTCTTTTATTTACAATGTAACGGAAAAATTCTCACAATAGTTAAGTTGATTGTCTTAGCATACTGTAAACGTATTACATTTGGCTGACGGTGTATTCTATTTAGGTCCGTCCGCTGAAAGCATCTTCCGCAAAAGCAGGTGCTTTGCAAAATTTCTTGCTTATATATACAGCTGTATTTTATAAACTTAAGAACATTCATAAATCTTAAATTCAGTAGTACACGCGAAATGAAATACATTTACAATCTATTTTATGCTTTCTTATTTCCATATACAAAGGTTGCGTGCCTCCTTTCTTCTATACCCCTTTCAAATGTGTCTCTTGTTTAAGTTTAGAATTATGTAATGTATGATTATTATTCGATCTTTTGTTGTTTATTGCCACTGTCAGAAGTACGCTTGCTCCATATTCGGATAGTTTTGGTTGAGGTGGGGATCTTAAAATCCGAGGCCCTTGTCACAGCAAGCGTAGGCATGATTAAGATCCCTCACTGCTCAATGGTCCAAGTTCAGGTTACAAAAATTATTGACAAGCAAGTTGATGAAACAAGAATATCAGCTGTCTGGTTTAAAGTCATCATTTCGTAAGTTCTATGGTCGATGCAATGACCTTGTTACCAAATACAATCTATTATGGGGTTAAATGCTGACTGACGTTTTTCATATTAATTGTTAGTCCATTATTTTTACACTGAATTTACGACGGATTTTCCCGATTTTTCCAATCATGACAAGAAGCACACGGCAGGTGTGACCGGTCTATTTCTCCATGGCACCTGATCCCACCTCTGTTGTTTCAGATGCCCGTGTTTGCTCTGCTCCTTTTTTTATTGTTTTAAATTCCTTGATATTGAATACCATTTGTTATCTACATTTCCTTCTTTGAGGTCCTTCACGAATATTTGGTGACTTTTCTTCGAGTGAAAAATCCATTCACTCAATAAATCAATCGATCTATTGTTGCACCATTACCATTCCTTTCAGGACTATAAACAGTGCTAACTAATATAACAAACAATGCTTACAAGTTCTACATATCAGGAACAAAAAAAGCGACATCAATTCAATTTACTACATTATTTTAAGTAAAATGCAGCCGAGATTTTCAAGAAGTTTAAAATTAACATATATATAAACCGAAAAATTTGAATTTTAACCAATGAATTAAATTAATTTGTCGATCCTTTTATTATATCAGTTCGATTTTTAAAATTAATTTTGTTGATATTACATACATTGTACGTATATTACGTATACATTTAAAAAATTCCTGTCAAATTAAGGTTTTTCCACCCTCGAAATTCCAGTGGTTCAAAGTACAAAACTTGCATCTGTTTTCATTTTTTATACTTTAAATTTTCTGAATACTGCAAAATTGTATAGGTCGCCATATTATTTATCATGGGAGACATAAATAAACAGAAATATACGTCAACGTAAAAAATTCCACATTTTTTCTACACAGTATTACGAAAAATATGTAAAATCTTGTTAAAATGCTAATTCTGTATTGAATGTTCCTATATACTTCCTACTCATAAGATACTTTTGAATTATGAATATCAGGTAAACTATTTTACATTAGAAGTACAATATAGCAAATGCCAGAATGAAGAGACTTGAGAAGGAGTCATTGCCCTTGTCAATATTTTTAAAAATTGAATAATTGATAAAATAAAGAAAATATACATTTTATAAATTCTTTCACTTTTCAATACTTATCATTCCTCCAAAACATATTGTTCTATTAGGTAAGAATTTAAACTAATAACAGTTTTTGCAAAAAACCTATGACGTCATAGGAAAGTGGACTTACCTTAAGTGGTCCATATATTGAAGTTTGGTCTAGAGGCAGAGATCGTGAGCATATAAATTTATAAATGACTTTTTTAATATTCAAAATCACGGTAAACGCTGTTTTCAAAACGTAAAACATCTTGATTTAAAAATTATCACATCCTTATGGTATTTTGTTTTTCCTTAAAGAAAAAGGCCTGCATAACTTTTTGTACGGACGCAAATAACTATTACAATATGAAAATTTTAAAAAAAGAATATCAGGAACAAAAATCTTTAAATACTGAAATATCTCTTAAATGTATAAGAAATGTAGATGAATACATTCACAAGATATTTAAGAAAACATTGAAAGATTCCGTTTCCATTCATTTTTTTTCTATTGTACTATATTGACTATTCAGTGGCATTTTAGGTGGTTTATTTTCTTCCTGCAAATAACTTCAAATAAAAGATCTTTTTATTTCGAAATATATACATCTAGATTTGTTATCTGAATATCACAGAAGTCGGTTGTGATCTGTTTAGAGCAAGGCTGATTTTTAAATACTTTCAAACGCAATATATATTGCGTCAATCACATTACGTTTAATTGCAAACATAGTCTATGTGTTTAAACGTCTGAGGTCGCGTATTATTGCAATGTACATTGCGCTTAATGGCAAAATATTTCTTTTTCTGAACTGGTTTCAATGGACTTTTTTAGAATATACCTATGGAGAAAAAAAATATTGTTTTGATTGTGTCCTCTTACCATAAACTTCAAGTTCACAGAGTTCGTTGTGTGCATACGTTGAATAGCCATCAGGGTAGGTAACTCCTGGGAGTCTCTCATTGTAGTAAATGACGTATCTCCCATGATTTATACATTTTATTGTAGCAGGATTTGGTATTGTAGCCTTGGTGTAATTCACGTCTTTGAAACAAAGATAGCCATCATATCTATTGGTTGTGTTCGAAATGTAAACCGAAAAACCAAGAAAGCGTGGCGCGTATCCATTGGTTTCGTCTAGAGAAACATAATTACATGTAAACTTCTGTTAAGTAGATGTAGCATTACCAAAGACATAATTATAAGTGTCACAAATACAAAGAAGATCATTATCATGATGAGAATGACTTTGGCCAAGAGACCTGCTAAATTTCAAAATTCTTATGTTTAATGTCTTTGATAATTTCTTATTAAAGTTTTTATTATGAATATCACATTTAATTTTGTTTGTTTGGAATGTGGAAAATATAAAAATTATTTTCAAATTATATATATTTCCTAACAAACAAAAGTAGGCAATTTATACTTGACACATCAAACCTTAATGTAAAAAAAAAACTCAAATGAATCAACCAAACTAGAATTATTTCACATTTCTGTGTTTCAAAGCCAATTTTAGTGTTTCAAAGCGAAATTTAATCTATTACTAATGCATAATAAAGTATTTTACTTTTATTGTTTTTTTAAGGATTTATAGCATATGCAAAATTTTACTCTTAATAGTTGTAATATTCTTTTCGAAGAAAAATGGGGAAAAAATTAAGATTCAAAGATACGCAATTCAAAAGTTGACTTAAGTATAAGACGTTCATCAGAAGAAATTGAATTTAAATAATGGGTTTGTTAAACGGCGTTACAATAATTCAAAATGAATCATTTTCAAACAAGTGGTTTATGTAGCACCCCATATGACATCATCCGTCCTGTAGAAGATGGTTATATGATGTATACTGAGTATGCCTCCTAGATCCACACGCCAGATTGCAGTTACTTTTACAATGTCAGATATTGTACACTGTTCTCCAGCAGCACTCTGAAATGAATACCGTCTATCTACAGCTTTGTCTGCTCCCCATCTCGAGGAAGAATACGGATGTTGCTGCCAGGCAGGCTTGTTTAATGCTATGTTTTCTGTAAGTAAAGTGAAAATAAATAGTCCAGGGGAATATTATCTTCATCCATTGCATATTCTCTCTCAAGAACATTCATCTCCATTATGATATTCAATATGAAAGAATGAGTATCCTGGCTCTGTCCAATAATTGTATTGTATGTAAAACTGAGAGAGCAGTCAATGAACATCTGTATAACATAAGGTCTTTTTCGCTTAGATGAATATAAACCTTTCAAAATACGTACTCTATTGATCAGCAAGGATTTCTTATGTATTTTTTTGTTCATTCCAATGTATTTCATGAAAGTATGGGGAATTTTGAAGTGTTGTGGATGTGATCAAAATTTTTATGGTTTAGTTTAATCATTCTTAGGTCAGATCAAGTGTCCACAAGTATGATGGGATGGATTTGACCTTCTAATACTGATTTTGTGCCAACTGTGAGTTTTTCCTATTATTGAGCCCAGATTCGACATGAAACCTCCAACAAGCCAACAGGTGTTATAATTTTAGTACTCTTATATGTAGCTTTATTATGGAACATACTTTTACAAAACTTTGGGAAATATTAGCACCGAAGGTCTGACTACAACTGACTATATTTTTAAGAACATATCATTCATACCAAACAAAAATGAAACAAAAAGGATTAACAAGAAAGTATAGAGAAATCAAATAAGGAGTTATTACAGAAGGACTGGTGAATTTCTAGCAGCATGTTTATAATAGAATTAATAAGTAGATGAAAGATTAAGTGTCAATAAATGTAAACAGAAGTCAATTGAGGCATTAACTGTCCATCTCTGACTAAGGTACTTATGGTAGGATTAAGGTGTGCAGAATTTATAGATTTTAACATATTTCCGAAATATATGAAAAGTATTCTTTTTAATAATTTTCACAGTCTCAAAAATGTATAATACATTGTATTAATTCATATCAATTTTATTAAGTAGAAGAAGGTCATATTTTACACAGTGATACATGTACATTGCGTACTTAGTAAACAAACTATTAGCTGTTGATTTTTTTTTATATTATTGTAAACATCTGACAGAGATGTGTATTGGAAAGTAATAAATCTACACTCTATTATCGGCAACTGGCACGACAGACGATAAAGTTGTTTCGCTATGACATACACCTAATTAATAGCGAGCGCAGCGAGCGTCGCGAAGCGAGCCCAGTAGAGGTACTAACGTGTAAGAACAGAGAAAATTCAGAATGAAATCTGTACATACGGCTAGGAAATTTTTTTGTGAAACATTCCCAGAATTCCTTTACTACCCAATGGCCTTTGTGCGAATAAATATTTAATCTACATCCTTACATTAATAGATGTAAAAAATCTGACACGGTAATCTAGTTAAAGCAATTCTCAAAGATCTCCCTGTAAATTGATATGATTGATAGGGTCAGCCTTCGGATGCTAGGATTTGAGCGCGGATTCTTTCGACTTGCACCATTCCCTCACAGAGCCTTGTCAGTGAACGCGCAAACACAAAAATTCTGTTGAAAAATAAATTGCCCTCCGTCCCACCCCAAAACCATCTGTAATTACTGCAGTGTCAGAATAGTTATCTTTGAATGGTTTCTTATGATACTTGCTATTTTAGAATAGTTTTTCAACTATATGGTTATTTGCTAAAAATTCGTAAGATTGTGGTGTTTGCACATTTTTATACCCCACCTTTGATATTTATTGAAACAAAATTGATTATGTCTTTCAATTGTTCATTTTTTCTGAATCTGCATTATATGTTTATATGCATGACATTTTCTTTTTTTTATATAGTCATTTATTATGTACAAAAATGGCATTTTTCAATTCATATAATCTTATTTCTGTTTCTTCGTATCAAACAGAATTAATCTATTGTCAGTGGATTTACATGAATAAATAATAACGTAAAGCATAAAAGGCTTCTATTTTATTGATAGATTTTAAAGAAACAAAAATAACTCTGCAATGTTTTTTGACCAAAATTGCACTAGGTGTATAGTTTCAACCAGACGCTCGGCTGTCTCCAAAATACCAAAAACATATTCTCGGTTATAAATGGGATTGGGGATCCCATGTAAACTATATTTATGTAATCAATACTTTTCGTCTTATCTTTCAAAGAAATTAGTCGCCTGCGTGGCGCAGTGGTTAGAGCGTCTGCTCTATAGTCGCGAAGTAAGGAGTCAATCCTTACGTCGCGGGTTCGAATCCCACTGTGGGACGTGGAGACCGGTCCTGCGGATGAGACCGTATAAACTGAGGCCCCGTGTCGCAGTAGGTGCCGGCACGAAAAAGATCCCTCACTGCTCAAAGGCCCTGCGTGCCGAGAACAGGAAAAAAAAATTGTAGCCCTCCACCGGCAAGTGTTGGCGTCTCCATATGAGTAAAAAAAATTCTTGAGAGGGACGTTAAACAACATACAATCAATCAATCAATCAATCAATAAAAAAAATCAAGTATCTATAATATAATATCATATTTAAATATCAATATGGAGAGCTTGATTGATTTGCACCTTTTCCTCTAACATTCTACCATCGGTCACGGTAGCCTAGTGGTAGAGCGTTCGCTTCGTGATCGGTAGGCCCGGGTTCGATTCTCGATCGCGGCGCCGCGTCATACCTAAGACGTAAACAAAGGTAGTGACTGTTCCTTCGCCAAGCGCTCGGCACTAGAAGTGAAAGTCACGGGTCTTTCGGATATGACCTTAAAAACGTAGGTCCCGTGTCACGGTAGGCGTTGGCACGATAAAGAACCCTCACTGCTCAATGGCCCTGAGTGCCGAGTATAGGTCTAAATTTGAAGCCCTTCACCGGCATCGGTGACGTCTCCATATGAGTGAAAAATTCTCAAGAGGGACGTTAAACAATATACAATCAATCAATCATCATCTAACATTCTACCAAAAGAGTTCTTGAATTACACCTTTGTAACAAAAGAGTCGGCCGCTCTGCGTCTTGATTTAGTGAAATAAAGCCCTGCAGATTATGCATAGTTATTTGTGTACGATGTAAACAAGCTACATGAAAGCTAAACACGGCTAGTAAATTATAGACATACTCCTATTTCGATACAATTGTGTACGATAAATCATTACTGGCCGGAAAAATTTCTCCGCATTCGTTACACTTGACTGCTTTATTGTATAACGGTATTCGTGCTGGTTGTCTAGCATTACCTTTCTATTAATTTCATTGCAATTTTTTTGGTGTATTTGTATATTACTTTTCACTTTGCTTGTTTGTATAACAATTCTATTTTTTATCATATTTTGACCTAAAACCGGGGACACGTGACTGTAAAGGGTCAAATAATGACATTTTAAATACCAATGTCAAATGAGATGCACATACTTTCCATGCTTAAAACTAAGACACTGAAACATACTGTGTGTTGTGATCGGTGACTATTTATAAATGTCATACCTCTACTGCATTAAACATAGCACTAAAATAAAAAGAAGTCAAGGTATTTAAACAATGCTACAGAGAGAGAGAGAGAGAGAGAGAGAGAGAGAGAGAGAGAGAGAGAGAGAGAGAGAGAGAGAGAGAGAGAGATTCATATACAAATAAGTCTTACCATAAGCAGAAATAATATTTACTGTGAATAGCATTCCACCAAGACAATTAAGCATTCCATTTTCTCTGTGCATTTTGTTTGACTCGGGATAATTTTAATCCAGGAAGTAAATTTTAACAGTTATTGATAGCAGTTTAAATATCTGAATTAGGTCAGGTTAGTAAAGCTATATATATCTTAACGCAGTCCTAGAGTTAAAAATAAATAAATACATGTATGTGGGATTTTTATTACAATTCAGGAAAATATTATTATAGCAGTCTGAAACATCATTTAAGAATGTCAAAGATAATCTTTTTTATTGCTTAATCCAATGTGATGGTGGCACAATTAAAAATTTAAAAATATCAACGTAATGTATTACTTTCCATACCAATAATTAGAAATACAAAATAAATGAGACGAAACAAGAAAGCTGGATTAAAAAAATAGTTAATCAATGCCTAACTACCGACAGCAAAGGAGTACTTATTTTACATTTATAATAAATTTGAAATGAAATATCAAAAATTATAGGCCCCTTGCGAATCCGGGTTAGAATAGGTCCTCAGTACCCCCTTGCTTGTCGTAAAAGGCGACTAAATGGGGGGTCCTTCGGATGAGACCGTATAAACCGAGGCCCCGTGTCACAGCAAGTGTGGCACGATAAAGATCCCTCCCTGCTCAAAGGTCGAAAGTGCCGAGCATGAGCCTAAATTTGCAGCCCTTCACCGGCAATGGTGACGTCTTCCTATCAGTGAAATATATTGGAGAGGGGCGTTAAACAGTATACAATCAATCAATCAAAAATTATAGCAAAAATATTTTAATAATGTAAAATTGTAATGTAATAATATTTTAATAACAATGTAAACAAAAAAAAAAAGAGAAACACAAAGAAAAAATGACATATAAAATAATAAAAAGAAATGTTAAGATTTAACGAAAACAAACCCTAAAATTTGAAATATTTATACAAACAAACAAGCAAAAATAATGGATAGAAATAAAATACATGCACTCTATAATGACAGACAAAAAGGCAGATTTTTTTACTTTCTTTATAAGACAGATTTCGGACCCACTCTGAAGATAATGAAAAACAAATACTGTAAGCAGTTGATAAATTTGCAAATGCAAGTGCATTGTATAAAAAAAATAATCACGTGACTTTTTTTTCTACATGTAACATGATTATATTGTTTTCTTTATAAATAATATATTTTCTATTTTTCAACATCACTTTGATTCTGACATTATATATGGGATCCATTCATATCCCAGAATGATTGCATTCTTCCTAGACACAAGACGTATTTTTACCATTATAGTTTTGGACATGTTTGTGGGCTCAATATATATGTTCACTTGCGCACATGGTCATAAGATGTCTATAATCTTTAACAAAATTAAGAAAGTCTAGAGTAAAATGTATAATGTATAGCGATATCCTGTGTTTTTCCAATCATAATTTACACCTAACTTCTTCAGTCTCATACCTAATAAAACGTGTTTTGAGTTTAAATAGGTTGAACACGAATTCTGGAAGCTGGAGACTAATTGTATAAAGATGTGTTCATACGATTACTACCGAACTGGTTCCAATAAAGTTTTCTCAATGTGTCTTGACTGCAGAATACAAAACACTGTGCCGGATAATTATGCCACTTCAAAAGTGGCATTTTGGCGCCCGCCAAATTCTCATTTCACATAAAAACCATGTATACCAAGTGGTAGACCATCACTCACAGAGTTCATAACTACCTTTGTTACAGGTAAATCTCACCTGCCAGGTGAGATAATCACCTTTGAACAAAAAATTCCCATAGGAAAAATAAAGTTCCTGTAGGAAAAATAAAATTCCTGAGGGATATTATCAAAATCCTGCAGGATTTCTGAATTTCCTGTGGGATATTTAAGAAATCCTACAGAAAATTAAATTACTATGGGAGAATTTAATCTCCTGTAGGAATACAATTTCCTATAGGAGAGAGAAAAAATCCCTTAGGAAAAATATATCCCATAGGATTTCTTAAATTCCTGTGGGATTCTCTTTTTCGGTCAGAAATTCCTGTAGGAATTTTTTTCACTTTTGAATTATTTACTTGCTCCTAAGGGAGAAAAATATCCTGTAGGAAATTTTAAATTCCTATAGGATTTCTTCTTCTCCTATATGAATTTGATACAACTGCATTTAGCTACAGCTAAAAATCAGCAATATACCTTATATTGTGTCAACATGGTCCAAAGAAAGAATCACTTTGAAAAAAATATAGATGAAAACACACATTTACAGATGAATATTGATAAATTATAACATTTTGCTGCTGGCTAATTATTAATTCACATCCAATGAAAACAAATAGCTATCATAACTGTCAAATTCTAAAAAGAACCCCAGAAAGTTTTATAATGTTTCCCTACCTACAATGTATTCAGTTTTTAATGCCTATAAATAAATCAGTAATGAACAATTTCCAAGATATTTTTTTATTTGTGCAATGCTTTCAAATTATGTCTTCAATATTTCCAAAAATATGATAATCTATAATCCACAGTGGCAAGACTTGCTACCAAAATGTATAGGACTTCCAACTACATGTACCTTAATCATGTTTATCATTAAAACAATATAAGTAATTATTGTGTTACTGCTTGTCTTCCATACTTTTCATATGGTATGTGCATATTGAATGTAACAGTTATGCCTATCAATAATCCACTTAAATAATTATCAGATTATATCATGTATATGTTCAATTTTAACATGTGTTTTAATAACATGCTTAAACACAATTTATACTGCTGTGCTGAATGCACTTGTTAAACTCTACATGTAACACAAGATGATAGATACTCAAAGAAATAGTGGCTGCTAAATATTTGTTTAGCTTACCTGTTACATAACTTTTACTTTAATTATCATTTCTGACAAAGAATGTAGAATATTATGATACCCAAATACTTACACATTGCATCCGATTGTGATGTTAATGAACTAATTCAGGCATATTAAACCAATATTTCAATAAATTGAGTATCAACGAAACTATATTGATTTAAATGTACTTGAATTAATCCGTAGTTTTTGTACTTTGAGCTTTCTTACAATCTTTGACATCATTCACTTCAATTCTGTCTTTCCTCAAATTCTTTCAGCGAAAACAAAGCGTATTACAGACATTGATCGGTAACAGATCGCTTCGTCCCCAAATGAGTGGATTCGCCCCCAGATGTTGCGCTCCAATTTCAATGCGGGTTAATAACCGTTGAAGAATGGATACTTTAGAGTGTTTTTCCTGAGAAGCGCATTTCTCTTGCATGTTTGTTAAAACCAAGGGATTTCAATGTTTTTTTTTTTCAGGAGCTGGATGCAATATGAACTTTCATTCTAGTTCTCAGCTATTAAAATTCACAATATGATATTTACAAGAAAGATGTTAATTTTATCATCAGTGCAGTGTGAGACCAAATTTAACATGTATTTGTCTAAAAAATAAAAATGAAAAGATATGATCATTTAAGAAAATCAAGATACTAATAGCGATTTACTGAGATTATTAACATGTTGATTTATGTTCTTTTTTTCTTTCTGACACTGTATTTTTTTTTTATATTTAGATAGATTGATTGCATGTTGTTTAAAGTCTCTCTTAAATTTTCTCCAGAAGTTTCACACATATGGAGACACCACCACTTGTCAGTGGAGAGCTTCAAAATTTGTCCTGTACTTAGGCACTTATACTCAAGGGCCATTATATAAGCAGTGAGAGATCTTTTTCGTAGTGGCACCTAGAGGGACACAGGCCTCGGTTTCTAGGTCTCATCCGAAGAACTGGTTTCCAAGTGCAACAGTGGCCTTTGAACACCCAATGTCAACTTCTTACTTAGCAACTCAAGAGCAGACACTCTAACCAGAGTGCCACAAGGGTGACTTGCATTTACAAGAAAAACAACACATGATAATGGAAGCATTCTTTGAGATAATTTTTTTTGGGGGGGGGGGGGGAGGGGGGAGAGGGACTTTCTAATATTATATCTTTTTATATATCTAGAAAGATCATGTTTTTACAAGAAAAATTATACCAAATTTATCATCTTTTATTTCAAAATTTAAAAAAAATATGGCCATTTAAGGGAACACACTATTATCAATTTACTCCGTTCAACATGATAATGGAAGAATTCTTGGAAATATATTTTTTTTTTTGGCTTTTTGACTTGAAATCTTTTAATATTTAGAAAGATCATGCTTTAACAAGAAAAATAATACCAAAATTGTTTTCATTTTTTTGAAAATAAAAAAGATATGGCCATTTAAGGGAACACACCATTTTCGATTTACACCGTTCAACATGATAATGGAAGCATTCTTGGAAATAATTTTTTTTTTTTGGCTTTTTGACTTAAAATCTTTTAATATTTAGAAAGATCATGCTTTAACAAGAAAAATAATACCAAATTTGTTTTCATTTATTTGAAAATAAAAAAGATATGGCCAATTAAGGGAACACACCATTATCGATTTACAACATTCAACATGATAATGGATTCGCATTCTTGGAAATATATATTTTTTTTTTTGGCTTTTTGACTTAAAATCTTTTAATATTTAGAAAGATCATGCTTTAACAAGAAAAATAATACCAAATTTGTTTTCATTTATTTGAAAATAAAAAAAAAATGGCCATTTAAGGGAACACACCATTATCAATTTACTCCGTTCAACATGATAATGAAAGCATTCTTGGAAATAATTTTTTTTTATTGGCTTTTTGACTTGAAATCCTTTAATATTTAGAAAGACCATGCTTTAACAAGAAAAATAATACCAAATTTGTTTTCATTTATTTGAAAATAAAAAGAATATGGCCATTTAAGGGAACACGCCATTATCGATTTACTCTGTTCAACATGATAATGAAAGCATTCTTGGAAATAATTTTTTTTTTTTTGGCTTTTTGACTTAAAATCTTTTAATATTTAGAAAGATCATGCTTTAACAAGAAAAATAATACCAAATTTGTTTTCATTTATTTGAAAATAAAAAAGATATGGCCATTTAAGGGAACACACCATTATCGATTTACACCATTCAACATGATAATGGATTCGCATTCTTGGAAATATATATATTT